GGACCCAAAGTTTCAAAGGCACAAAATTATCTTTAAGATTCTCAGTAAACCAGACGAAAAGAAAAGCAAAATTAGTTTATTGATTTATCCCTAAGGAAAACTGCATACCGATAGTTTCCTAAAGAAGCAACATTTTCTTTAGTACCTAACTCTGAGTGAAATTTGTGATATATGGGCAGCACTGGTGACCAGGAGAGTAGATAAGAGACTGATTTATTGGATAATCTTCTTTACAAATTCAGGAAGTCTTCACAAAAATTTCTCAAGGCATCCCAAGTGAATAGTGAAGGCGTGACACAAAATATGACTCAGAGGAGGCAGGAAGTTCTATAGATGACCCAGGAAAAAAATGGTGCAAGTAAGCAGCCTTCTGCTGAAGCATTGTGATCTGAGAAGAAACCTTGAAGTGGTATTTCTCAAAGGTCAGGCCACAGATCACATATCAAAATCACCAGGGAGTGCTTGTTAAAACTGTACTTTCTCCAGATGTACCGAGTAGGATCTCTGGGGGATGAGCCTGGAAATCTGCAGCCTTTACAAGTTTCCCAGGGGATTCTTAAATGTATCAGAGCCAAGAACCAGTGTCCTGGAGCAATGGTCTTTAGACTTGTTATTTTTTACTTGTCTATTCTAAAAGAATTTTGAAACACTAGGAAACTAGGTATCATTTCACATGTTTTTAGGTCGACATCTCAACTTTTTATTCTAAGTTTAAGAGGTTAAAAAATACAATTTCTGAGGTAATACTGACATTTCAAATAAATCTTTTTTATTTCTTTAAAATGTATCCAATTAATTTTAAAAACTCATATGCAATAAAATCTAAATACATGAACAAGCTCTTCTTTAGCAGTCAAAATTTTTACATTTTCTCCTTTTCCTCCTTGAACACAAATTTCCATCCCATTTCCCCCACAGAATTTTACTCAAATGCAACATATTTTATGCTTGAAGTCTCTTTTATTATCAGCCTATCATTCTTCCCTGCAAAATACGTATGTACATTGAAATTTTATTTTTTTATTTCCTGTCACCTTATGTTGCTAAATGTTAAAATTTCTTCAGAATTGCATTAGCATTATAGTTATTAGTAGTACACATTGACAAAAAAGACATTTTCATGTTAATTTTTAATTACAATGAATTATGTTGGAAATGCTTCTATTAATTTGGTTGGTAGACTGTTTTCCCCTTATTTAATTTTTGTATTCATAGGTGAATATTATTTATGGCTAGAATAAAACAGACCAGCACCAATTTTATTCATATTTTTTGCTTTACATACAATGTTCCCTGAGAGAACTTGTTTAGACAAATAGCAAATAAGAATGGCAGATGTTTTGTTATAGCAGGGTCACTCAGATCTTTGAACTCTCTCTGAATTATAAGACAAAACCCATATAGTAATTTATCATCAAAGTTTATATTTAATAAAGTTAAGCTGACAATTTGATTATGTCATTCTTTAATTTTGTTGGAAGAATTGAAAACCACAGGACCTGCAAAAGAATTTGTAATCTAGTCACTAATAATCATTCACTCTAACTCCAACACCAACACTGTGGTTAGTTTAATGTCCTAGATGTTTATACACATCCACCAAAGCATACCATTGAAGTAGGATAAGTCACGAAAGATTTCAGATGGTTGAAAGGATTCCATTTTAACAAGTGTAAAAGTGTAATTAGGAAAGGGGTGATAGGAGAAGTCATCAAGTGGCATTTTCAGGCAGATCCATTTTTATAAGTAAGTACTTGTGGAAACTAGAATCAAGCAAGATCGCCTGAAGACAACCCTTGTTTTCGCATTTCTTGAAAAATCTTTGTGAATATTCAGATACCTCAATTTGAAGACCACGTACGAAGTATCTGGATACACTGAGAGAATATGTTGCTTTCATAAAGACTCAACAATAACACAGAGAATTTAAGCGTTCCAAAATTTAATCTTCCTCTTCTTAGCTACCTGGATTCACTCCAAATGTAGGTGTACCCTAGCCTGGGACAGCTCTAGCACAGATTAAAGTGAAGCAGGCCACAAAATGGTTACAACAAGCAACACAGGGAGATGTGGGTGATCTTTAAGAGCCTACAAGCTTTTGCTATTATGATTTTGCCAGCGCTTCTCTCCTTACTTTAGTTAATGGAATTCTTATCGTCTCCTCGGGGGTTGAAGTGGCTCTGGGTCAGAAAGGACCAGAAGGTCCTCGTGTTTCTTCCCTGAGGCATTCTGTAATTTTGTTGCTACAACCAAAGCTGGGAGAGAGGATAGGGGGGAAAAAAATTTTTTTTTTTTGCTTTAATATGAAAATAATTGCCTCTCCTCTTGGAGACGTGGCTTAATTAAACTAATCTGATTTTCTACTGGTAAAACTAACATGAAAATGCTACTGCTCTGAGTTCTCTAATTATAGAGCAATCACACTTTTTCTTAACAGATACTAAAATCAAATGCTATAATGTTGGATGAGGTCATTGTGAATAGCTTGTTATAAGGCCTATTTTGAGGTGTCACATGAATTTCAGTGAATATTGTGCAGTGACAGGAAGCAACAGAAAGCTTACTGCAGGAAAAAAATATGAATTTCTACTAGGATTTATCTAAAAAGTGATGAGGTTCTACAAATTATTTTCTAAGAAGTGTGTTCACTGACCATAATCTCCTGTTCTTCCACCCCAAACTCCTTAAACTCAACTCCTTGATTTCCCCTCTTAGCTACCCCCTTTTTTCATTTTCTTCCCCTGCATCACCTGAATGATGATCAACCTTTTGCTGATTACGCTCACCAGTCCTCTCAAGCCTCCTTACACCCTTGAACTTCTACGTATCAGTTCTGCCAAGTCACAGCTCAGAATGAAACAACCATCTGCTCTCTCTACTACTGCTTCTAGTTTGCCAAGCACTGCTGGAGAAATTGTATTACTACCAATTCATGCCATAACAGATCTGCAATTCCCAAACTGACCTTGACCCTTAGCACTACTTGGCAGTCCTTTCACTCTTGCCTGGTTGACTTGCTTTTCCACTGCTCAGGTTCTATTCCAAATCTCAAGTCATTACTCTTTCAAGTTTCCTACAATGCTTCCTCAATCAACAGATGACCTAAATGTCTACTTTAGGAAAAACTAGAATTCACCTTCTTTTCTTTCCACTTCTAATGGTCATCTATAGCTTCACCCTCCCTACATCTGTCCCAGAGATAATTAATATGTCAATTTTCTTCCATTCCATACTGTTGTTTTGGGGTTTGGGTTGATTTGTTCGTTTGTTTGCTTTAAGCTCTTAAAGTCTGTGTATGTTATTACAAGGAATTCTTCTTGGAAGTCATATTCCAAGTTGAAGAAAGGGTGTCAGAATGTTAGGAAGTTAAAGGCGCCGATTGGCTATAGAAAAGAGCACATCAGAATAGCAAGTGTTCTACCTTCAGTCATTCCCAACCAAGGACAGAAAGGAAGGTGAGTTGGGATGCTGTGTGTTTTAAAATTCTAACATAATTCTGCCAGCCAAATGTTACAACATGTAATTTAAAGAGGTCATGCTTTAGTGATCAATGCCATCTTTGTCCTCTATTTGTAATACCTCCCACATCTACAATCTAAAAAGCTACTACTAATAATTAGTCCTCTTTGTTCCTTCTTCTAACAGGAGTTTGCTCAGACTCGTTCAACCCAAACTTTTCATGGGCACTCCTAGGGCAACCAATGTGAATTACATTATGCTGCACCTGATACGGCTCTTCTAATTTGGTGTCATATTACACTAGCTATCATATAAAACTTAAAAGTGACATATATGTTTTAGAAAAAATATTTGTAGAGACTTCCTAAAGAGAGGTTTTGGTATAGAAAATACTTTATATACCCTTACAGTGTATGTAGTTTGGGGAGTTCCCTCCTTCCAAAAAAGAATACAAAATGAGATACAGCGTCTTTGGAAGAGGCCTATGAAAATGAAGGACTCTGAAGCTTAAGTTTCATTAGCATAATATAAATCATCTTTTTTGTATTTGACCTCTTAGGACATAAAACAATCCCTAAATCCAAACAATCCAAACATTCACTAACATGTAAATACCTGACATGAGCCAAAAGCTTCACATAACTACATCTCATTCTCACAACAAACCCTGTAGTTTACTACCCTCATTTTTATAAGAGTGGAAACTGAGACAGAGAATATAGTGACTCGCTCACAGTCAGAGCACTGCTCACAGCGGAGCTGAGGTTCGAACCAAGATCTGACAAACTACATCTTGTATCATTGCTACTGCATTTTCACTGCCTTTAAGGTTTCCCAAAAGACAGAAAGTCTAAGTTGCTTTGGAGAGTGCTCCTAGGACATCCCCGAAAAGGCTCACTTGAAATTAACAAGACAGTTCACACTTGAGAATTTCATTGAAAATATGGTCCTAAAACTGTGTTTAAAGAGCATAAAAGGGGTTCCCTGAGTGGTCCAGTGGTTAGGACTCCATGCTTTCACTACATGGGCCCAAATTGAATCCCTGGTCAGGGTACTAAGATCCCACAAGCCATGCAGCAAGGCCACACACACACATACACACATAAAAGAACATAAAGAAACAAAACAAATGTATAACTCTTAAGAGTTATCCTCTGATCACAACGTGAATAGAAGAAAATGGAAGATCTTAGGGGCTAAGAAAAAATGTGATTCCAGTAGGGCGAGGAAAGTGGAAGCAAATTCAGCATCTGAAGGGAAGTCTAGAATTACAGCCTCTCAGGAAGGAATTTGGCCATGGGGTGACCTTTCACATGAGCTTTTACAAACTATATCCTCTTGTTACATGTCTAGTGTAATTCTACCTTACCATTGTGATATATCACATTTTAAAGATAAAAAAAGTAATGACAATTGGCTCATGTATTACATTGCTCACTATTATACCCATACCTTGCATTTGCCAGTTTGGCCTCTATTTTTTTAGGTGTATGGTAGAGATATCCTCTCCTCCTCTGAAGACTCCCAAAGGTAGATGCTTTGTGTTTATCTTTTCCTCACTCACAGAATCCAGTCAGTACTGTGCCCTACAGATAGCAGGCACTCTATTCCCTGGAGGTCAATGGCCATGGAAGATGGTGTTGATGAGTTATTTTTGACAAGCCATCATTCTCTAACACAGTAGGAATTCCATAATATAGATGTTTTATGATACTATCCTATTCAATCAAAGACTTCAGAATAAAACTTTTGGCATTGGCTAAAGCTAAGGCAAGAACTGATCAGATATCATTAGTAGTATTTTCAGTCAACAAGCTGTCACTGATGTTGAAGTTACTTAAAAGACCTGTTTAATCTGTGGTCTTAGCGCCATTGTGACCTCAACCTGTAGCTAAAATCAGTCCAGTGCAACAGGAGTTTCAAGAACAGCAGCACAAAAATGATGACTTAACTGAATGGAACAAGAAGGCACATATTTTCAAGAAGATCTTTTTTATTCTTAGAAGTTTTCCTTCAAGATGACAAGTGCTTCAAACTCTCCAGGATCTTACTTATCTTCCAAAACAAGGTAAGTCTATGACGGAAGACGCTGAGCGGTAACTATCCAGGAGAGAGAAGAGGGTCTCTATTATTGGTCCAGGGTAAAGGAAAATATAGTGTCTTTTCCCACAGAAGTTCTAAATTAGATGACAACTACTTGAAGCAGTTAAATGAGGACTTAAAACTGAGGAAGCAGGAACTGCTAGAGATACTAAAACCTCTAGAAGACAAGAACAACCTGTTGTTCCAGAAGTTGATGTCTAACTTGGAGGAAAAACAAAGAAGGTATGTGTTTCCTTTTCAGGATTTCCTAGAAGGGGAAAGGCAGGAGAACTGGATTTAGCAATGATTATTTACATTTTTTAAAAAGGTTTAGTAGCTATAGTAGATTAACAAGAAAGTAACCACAAAATCAGAGTGGCAAGGAGTCCTTTTTTCTTTTAGTAGAATTAAATATGACTCAGCTCATCTCACAGCGCTACAGTTACAACGTTTCTTCCCAAGGAAAAGATAAGAGCCTTCAGTATCCTCTGTGTATCAGGGTCACACAGACAGCTGCCCATTCATGTTTGTGGAATCACCTTAGGAGGCATGACTCTGCTCTTCAAATGCTAAGCAGTGGAATGGCAATCATTTCTGAGCATCAAACTCTTCTGTATTAGGGTCTGACCTTACTCTTAATAAATGTACTAGGCAATTCAGGTCTTAACTCTTTGCTAAGGCACTCACTGTTCTTGGAATTTACCAACTTTCTTTTTCCTTTCTAGTCCTAGAGAATCTCACCTTAATGTACCTACCTTAGCAAAAGCACCTCATGGAGCTTAACTTTTGGAGAGCAAAAGTCAGGCAGAAAGCTGTGAGAACAAAAGCCAGGCAGAAAATTGTGGTCAATCAACAGTTGCTTACAAACCAGAAACTCAGCCATCTCAGGGCAAGGAAACACAAAGACTTGCTTCTCCACTTATAATTAGAGAGGGGAAAGTACAAAGAGGGAAAAGTACAAAGACTATAAGCACAAGTTAATTAATGCCTTTGAAGAATATCCTCTCTTACAGTCATAGACTTGATATTTATTCAGATTTTGTCCAAAACTTTTTGATGGCTTGATTCTCTAGAGGCTACCATAAGGATATAAGTGGGTTCCCCAGTTAACTCCAATGTTTTTATATAGAGAAGCAAAGCAGGGGCGAGGACAGGGAATGATTCTGAGATTTATCCTTAAGACAAGTTTCTCAACCTCCTTCTTCAGAGGTGAAAAATGCCCCCTTTCTACTCCAAGCATCATACAGCAAAACCTTCATCTAAAGGGGTTGAGAGGAGTTTCACTAGCTGTTGGAGACCTAACTTTTGAGCGTTTTAGGGCACAGAATTCACTCCAGAGCACATACCGAAGGTAAATGTCAATTAGGAATGAAACTGGAGACCTGTTATGTCCAGAAAGACTTCCACAACTCCTATGATTTCAGCCCCCATCTCCCTCTCATGGTAGAATAGTTTCTGGCTGGTCATGGAATATTAGTATTTCTCTTTAGGAAGTATTATGTTTATGCTATCTCTTTCTTCTTTCTAGTCTACAGATTATGAGGCAGATCATGGCAGGGAAGGAGAATGATGACTCCTCAGTCATCGAGCTCGTTAAGGAAGCAGAAGAGATGAAGCAGAATCTGGTAAGAGGTTGGTGGGCACTCTAGGGAATGGCCTTCTGAACAGGGCTCTCAGTTCCACAGCTTCAGAGTGCTCATCTATAGCATTGGTGTTCCAACACTCATAGGTCCTTGATCTGGAAGTCCTGGTTGAACTGAAGGGAGTCAGATGAAACACTGGGAAGAATAAGGACTAGTTAGTAAAAATTCTATTTCTTTGACTTTTAGAAAAACTTTCCATCTAAAGATTAATGAGTAGAAGCACATTAACCCCTCACATTTCATATGAAATAGAACATACCAAAGTAAAAGGGAAGAGTGTGAGAGATTCTTTTAGATTTTTAAAAATCAACAAGGAAGGATCTTAAAAATGAAAAATTAGGGGTCTGAGTCCCAGAGAAGCTGTCATATGATCAGGAAATGTGAAGTAGTGAAAGAGTGAGGAACTCATTACTATATTATTATACCACAATTACCATAATTAAAGTTATTATTCCAAATTGTTATTATTTTTTTATCATCATCATCAATCTCATCTCTCATGTTCCTGGGCTTGAGGCGAGGCTCATTTATTGCCTTCCTCTGTGGTTTATTATGCCGCTGCCCCCTGTTCACCCTATTAGTAATTTCTTCTAACTTTAATAAGACAAACAAATTTCTGTTTGTTTGGATTTTCCCCTCCCACAGGAAAGGAAAAACAAGATGCTTCGGAAAGAAATGGAGATGCTGTGGAACAAGGTATGTGTATGTGCCTCTAAGTATCTTTTGGAAAAAGAAACTTCCCTTTTTTCTGGTCCACATCCTCACTTTTTCTGTCTCTGTTTCCACATGTGCCTTATTCCAATTCATTCTTTAATCTTTATTTTTAAAACTATTATGTCATGTCACTCTTCTTATGAAAACCCTTTACAGTTATTCCTTATTATGGCATAAGCTCCCTCTTGCCACCTTTCCAGTCTCCTCTCAGAGAAGTTCCCCTCTCCCACACTGGCCTCCACATGTCAAGACCTTTCCTTGCTCAAAACTTTTGCCTTTGCTTTATCCCTGGCCTGTAATGCTGTTTTCTTAGAGCTGGTTCATTCTCGTCCTCCAGGTCTCTGCTTAAATGTCACCTCCTCAGGGAAGCCCTCCTTATTTACTCCACTGAAAAAAGGGCATCACCCCATCCCTTACTATTTTACAATTTTGTTCATGTCTTCCACAGCACTTTTTTATAAGTCCATTATTATTTTTTTGTGTTATTATTATTTTATTTGCTTGTCTCCCTGCCGTGCTCTGAAACATGCTTCTCCACTATCTTGATTGCTTTGTTCATCTTGGAAACCCTAGCATTGTAGCACAATGCTTGGCACATAGTAGATGATCAATATATGGAAGTTGAATGAATAAATACCCAGTTTTTGTTTGGTTGGTTTTTTTTTGCTACTTTGATCCTTTACTTTAACTTTCTTTTTCAGGAATGCTGGCTATTGTTAGTCTCTTGTCAATACCCAGTTTTAATTCCACTACAACTTTGCAACAATCAAGGCACGGTTTAATATAAAAATGTTATGGCCTTTTGACGGGAAACCAAGCAGGGGGAGAAATTCCTTCCCGTACTTAGCCTTTGGGATTCAAGAGCTTTTTCACATTATGAGACCGGAATAGCAGATTGTCTCCGGCCACACACAGGTGTGACTGTGATCTCTGACAACGTTTTCCATCTCACTTTTCCACAAATAACTGGAATACTATCAAGCCCTGTATCTTGTACTGAGATCTGCTCTTAGTTCTTAGTGGGAACTACATGTCAGTTCTATGAATTATGAGAAATTTTAGTTCCTGAGTTCTTGAATCCTAGTGACAAGAAATATGCCGGCACCCTTCCTCTGTCAAAATCCAATTTCTCCAGAGCTCCCGAAAGACTTTGTATAAGGGATGTCCATATACCCAAGCTTTGACTGACTTTCCCTACTGATATGTTTAGACAGTGAGAAATAGGGAGACAAGATCATGTGCCTAATGGTTAAGAATACAGACTTAAGGAGTCCAAGAGATTTGTTTCGAGTTCCAGCTCTGTACTTCCCTACTTGAGTGACCCTAAACAAATGACTTAACCTCTCCTAGTCTTGGTTTTCTTACCTATAAAGTAGAAATAAAAACAGCCATGTTAGGATTAAATGAGAATGTTTGTAATGCAGTAGCATAAATAAGTAAAGGAATAATTAGCTTACTATAATGATTGGCATATGATAAAGTTCAGTTAATGGTTTTTATTATTATAAAGTACACTCCAGAGACCAGATAGAAAGGCTCACTTCATTCTGAACCTCCTTTGGTAGTACACTTTTCATGTCAGACCCTGAGAGGCTGCTAAGTGGCAGTAAGAAGCCAGTTTTGCTGGCTTTCCAGTTGACCCATATTGGCTTTCCACTTCCTTCACAAAGTCCCACTAATTTAAATGTTTGCCAAAATGCCCCTCTACAGACATTCAACACAGAAGAATTCAGTGATGAAGAAAAAGTACTGCAGATAAAGAACAAATCAGACTTACAGGATGGAAAGGCAAGTGGACAGCATAGTACTTAGAATATCAGAGTTGTTGATGCCACACAGATGGAAATAGCCTGTTGACAATCCAGGCTAATTTGGGTAGACAGACAGGTAGGAGCTGGGCCTTAAGGGTATATTGGATTTACTGTTGGCTGAGACAGTATATTTCTTTCCTGGGACCTCTATTCCTTTAGCTCTCTTCTTTCTTCCCAGGCTCCCAAAAGCCCCTCATCATCTAGGAAGACCAAGAATGAACTGGAGACATTGTATGCAGAGAAACTGAAGGAAATAAGGAAGGTAGTATGATCTTTCTGGAAGTAGTGACTTTTAGAGCTGAGAGATTAGAAATCTTAAATGTAGCAATAGTCTGTCTAAACTATGGTGTACTGCTGGACAGATACAAAATTTTATGGGAGAATTGGTTCCCTTGGGATGCTACATTTGAGGCAGAGTGACATTGCAAGTTTCTTGTAAATTATGATAGCTAGAGCAAAGTAGGAAAAGCTGTGCCAATAATGACAACTTTGAAATAGCTGTGACATGTCAAAATGCTTATTAATTTGCTTTTGAATGTATATTTAGAGATATCATACTTCTCGTGACTATTCATTGATAGAAAATGATCCTATTCATTTAGCTTTCAGCTTTTGGAGAGTAGGTTGTACAGGTGGGGCCAATTAAGAGGACTAATGCATTTGAAACCAATATATTAGTGAATCTATGACACCATAATTTTGCTATAAAGTCTTTGCAGCATACTGAAAGAACTGATTTCTGATCTCAATTTACTTTGTCACCAGAGGCTCTTTCTCCCACCAGGAAAAGAAACAGAGGAGAATGGAATGGGTCAGGTATCAGGAACAAGCCAACATCATTCAGGTACAAAGTCTTCCAAGGCTGGACATAGGGCACAGTTTCGTCTATGCAATATAGAAGCTTTTAGTTACTTGATGTTAAACCTGATCCCCTCATCTGGATTACCAACTGTCATGCTAAAAGAAATGTTTTGTGGGAAGATGGTTGGAGAGATCAACCTCCATCTCCACCTTGGGTATAGCACTTTTCCCCTATGATCTTGATTTTGTTCTATTTGAAATGAGAAAAGAATCACAAATACTTTCTCCCCACTTTTACAGACTGAGCTTGATAGGATCATTTTAAGACTTATGAGTAAAAAGGATTCAGGTAGTAGTGGATTTAGAGAACAATACTATATGAGTAGTCTTAAAAAATGTTCTCTTGTAGAATGACTTTAAAGGCAAAGTGATTGAGCTGAGAATTGAAGCCTTGAAGAACTACCAGAAGGCCAATGATCTGAAGTTATCACTGTACATACAGCAGAATTTTGAGCCAAAGCAAGCATTTTTTAATCTTCCCAGATCCCAAGGTAAGTACAAAATCATAGGTACATAATTACAGGTTTGTTTTGTTTTCCACTGGAGAGTCCATTGCTTATAAAGTGATAGCACAATGCCTGGCACACAGTAAGTTAGCAGTGTTTTAATAAAGTTATCACTATCATCATCATTATTATTACACTGAAGCTTTTATATCAACATAAAGATTCTTCTGGAGGAAATAAAATTTTCCTTTGTAAACACTAAGTCATACATTGTGTACTTAGCATATATGGAAGATACATAGTTGACACCTGATAAAATATTAGTTGTCTCCTCACCCCCTCTCCTTTCCTAGGAATTAAGAGTAGTTTAATCTCACAAACCTTATTGAAATAGACTCTGCTACTTCAGAATGGAACACCAAAGAGACATCAGACAATGGTTGTGAGTTTCACCACTCCAGATATTCCTCTTGGAGTTTCAGCATTTCCCCACCCCAAAGGATTTATGACACTGTTAGAGGAAATCATATAGCTTACCATAAGAAAATGAAGAAATGGGACTTCCCAGAAAGCCCACGGGTTTAGACTTCGCTGTCCTGATGTAGGCTGTGCAGATTCAATCCCTGGTGGGGAAGCCAAGGATTTGGCCACAAGGGTTTTGGTCCTTATGACCCAAATCCGAAAACATAAAACAGAAGCAGTATTGTAACAAATTCAATAAAGACTTTAAAAATGGTCCACATTTAAAAAAAAAAAATCTTTCAAAAAAATGAAGGAGTGGTCTCTGAGAGGCAGGAAGAAATAGCGCTTAAATTTTCATGGATCTATGATTCTGTATAATTTTTAAAAAAAGAGACATGCAATGAAAAAATCATGGCTAAAGGATGCCAATGTTTTAACAGTATTAATGTGTAGGTCTCTAATTTCTTCTCAATCTTATTCCCTAATGACTTGAATAGGTTATAAAATCATTTATAGCACAAAGATTAAATAAATGGCTAAATCAAGGCAAAGTAAAAATAAGTTGAAGCAGGTAAATACATGAAAATGTGTAAAGTATCACACAGTTGGTACAGGCAGGCCTCAAACTTGATTCTGAATTTCCCAGAATAGGAAACATGGATTTACGGTGTCCACAAAATAAAAATAAACCAACCCCCCAGAAAAAATATAGATTTTACTTTTACTGAAATGAGAGAAACTTCTCCTCCAATCCTCATCATGGAGAGAGGACACTCTGTGCCATGTTAGCTGATGTCCTCAACAATATTTCTAAGATAAATTCAGAATCTCAATTTCTAAGACTGGTTCTTGTCTACTCCTTGGCTCTGTGTGATAAGAGATTATTGATTTGAACTTTTTTGTAAGTGATGGATCAGCTCATGAGCATTTGGTCCATGTCCATAGCACTCTGTTGAGCTGAATTGATTCATATTTAAAAATTAGAAGATCTAGAAGACTGGGGGAATCTACCTGTCCTTCAGCCCATGTCCCATCCATATTTTTCTTTTAACTTTTGTTTTGATAAGAATTGGAAAGCAGAGAGCTTGAGGTATTCCTCTCCAATAAGAATCTGGAATACAACCAGAAGCAGTATAAAGTCATTAAAATGTGAACTAAAAAGATTGAGGAGGGGAGGGTGACGAGGGCGAGAGATCCATGTCTTATTTCATTTAAAATTAGTTGAAAGTCATCTCAAGGGATCCATAGAATACGGAGCCAAAAATCCTTTCATTCTGGATTCAAATCAATAGTCAATAAATAGTGAAGGGTTTCATTCAACATGATCACCTCAGAAGATTTTTTTTCCCCTTGCTTTCAGAACCCTGAATCTTTGAACTCTGAACTAGAACAGCCCAGAGATCAACATCTCCTTTTCTCTTCTCTCCTCTTAAGCTTCTGGAGTACTAAGTGATAGGGCACTAACTGTTCAATTACCACAAGTGCATGTAGCCCCAGGTATGTGTTACCCATTTCTTGTGTGTTACGATTTATGGATTGCACATGCATTGGATACTGATTGCAGGCCAGTTTTATTTTCTAAAACACATGCATATAGAAGCTTTGAGTTTGTTTGAGACCAAGCGGATCTGAAATCTAAGTCCTAAATTTTGGTTATATTGATCTATCTATAGTCTAGTGTTTAATTATTGAAAAGAAAACAAAATAAATACTAGTTTTCTTCATTGAGGGCTTTTTAAAGTACTTATATTAAAGATATGCTTACCAACCTGGAGAAGGAAATGGCAACCCACTCCAGTATTCTTACCTGGGAAAGCCCATGGTCAGAGGAGCCTGCGGACTAGAACCCATCGGGTTGCAGAAGAGTCAGACACGACTTAGGAACTCAGCCACCACCATGATTACCAGCAGTGACATGATAGGGAGGTGGTTTGGGGGGTGCCCAGTGTTTCCCAACTTCTGTGTCACTTGAACTATTTTTTATTGTTTATTCAGTATTTTTCTGTTTACCTTGACTTCAATCTCTTAAATACCTTCCTTGAAAATAAAATTGTATAGTTGTTTTACTTGAAAAAAGCCTACAGTTTTCTATGATAAAAAGTAAACATCCTAAGTATACAGAAAATAAAATTTTAGTATTCTAACAAGATGCTGAAGCCTAAGGCCTCTTTTATCTTTATTAGGAAGTGAGATTAGCAAGATGTAAACAGTTTTAAAGAAAACCACCAAATTGAAACTTTTCTCCTTGATGCCATGAGGGTATCAACTTTGAAAGAACTGAAAAGGGGGCAGTTATCTCACTATGATTTATAATATTTAATGCTGTGTTCCGGCTTCTCCTAAATTTATTGCAGATGCCTCATAAAATCATCTGACCATCAGATTTTGGGAAATAGTAATTTAATGGGTAAAAGCACTGGATTTGAATTCAGATATATGACTTACAGGCCTTACTCTGAGGCTAACCAGTGAGATGACCTGGACCAGTCATTTTGTTTCAGTGTTTTTCTTTATCTAAAACAACCATAACACAGTATAGAGCAAGTTGAAAACATATAGTTCTGTGTAATCCTCACAATGACTCTTTGAGGTAGGCATTATAGAACAAGAAGCCGGTTCAGAGAAGCCAGGTTTCTGACTCCATATGCAAAGCTCACCTCTTAAAATATTCTGTAATTGACAGTGTTCCAGTATATGATTTCTGATGACTCTGCCAGCTCTCAAGTCTATGATTTGGATCCAAGCCAATCACCTGTTTGATATATAATCCTCCCAATAAAGAATCATACCCATAACATTACTTTTTTCAGTAACAGAAATGCTAGTTCCAAAAGAGGTTGACAGATTTGTAATTCTACATTTACCCCAGTAGGTGGCACCAATCACGTCCAGGTCCCTAGCCCTGGTATGCATACAGTGGTAATTCAGGATTAGGGAGCCATTGGCCTTCTATGGCCCTTAGGACAAAATGTACTACCCCTATATAGCAAATGAAAACATTTAAAAATCTGTTAGTGTTTCCCACCATGCTTCACGACACTGGGGTATATTACTGGCAGCCTTGATTATACCATATTAAATTCAGTATCCTGCTGCAACATCCATAACTATCATTCCACTCCGTAAACTACAGGGTCCTCCATTCCAAAAACGGCCACTCTCCACTTCCTCCACAATCGCTGTCTAATTCTGTTTTTCTTTTCTACCACAGATAAATCAGGCGATTAGGACAAGGAATTAAAAAATCAGGCAATTGCACAAGGTGGTGATTTTCTTGAAGTTGAAGTACTTAAAAGTGTTCCTGGATAATGTTCCTTTTCCTCTAGTTTCAAAAGAATTGAATTTCACAAACCTGTGTTAAAGAATGGATGGAATGTAATTTTGGACACACCTTCCAGCAAATCAGGGTACAGGCCCTTCTGTTACAGGCATTTCCAAGCAGAGGGAGGGTTTTATTTTCCCCCACTGCTCCTGGCCAAGAATTCCTCCTCCCACATCAATTGTCCTGTGTGCTGGTTGGCTGCGTCACAGTGGTGTGATCTACTTGGTTGGCAAAATACAATCCTCTGTTAATACTGACTTTGTTACACTTCAAGCAACCCCTCTTTGCAAATTCCCTTGAGGCCCAGGTTGCAGCATTAGCATTGTCAGTCTCATCTGCTTAGCATACTGCATCTCCTAGTCGTACGGAAGAGGAAAGCATTTTATAGCCTGGGTGAAGTTTTACGTTTTGGTCTCACTAGAGACGAGTCACATTTGAAGGGATTTACTTCCAGACCAGTTGTAAAAAGACAATTTGACCTCGAGTATATGGCAGCCTTGCCCAGGTTTCTGTAGAGCCAAGAGAGCATTTCTTGGCCTTTGGCAGTCACCTATCTTAAGAGAGCTCAGGCATGTAGCCATCTTTAAATTCAGCTGAGTTTCCCATCACACCTGCTGGTGTTCAAAAAAGAGGTTTATCTTCCGTCATAATAGAACTGGCGATAAAACCTTTGATTCTTACACCCTTGCTTTTCTCTCCTCCCCTACCCCGCCCCCTAGCTCCCTCCCCAACTCTGCATTTCCTTGAGCTCTTTTAAGAAGCTGAAGTTTGCATGTGAATATTTTGCTCCACTTATAAATTCAGATGAAAGCCCAGTGTGGTGAGAAATGAATACTCTTGAGACTTTATTTATTCTATAACTCCCTCTGTTCTGAAACCAAGTCATTCTCCCCAGCTTTAACCTTTACTTCACTTTAACATTACACTTCCTGATGGCCGAAATACACTCCCGCAGGTGCTGCTGAAAGGAAAATAGTAGTGTTAAAATTCTAAAAGGCAGGGGTGGAAACCCACAGCTAGCTCAAACCTGGGTCCTTGATAAATAGCATTGCTCTCAAATACAGGTTTTTTAAAGCTTTGCTGCAACTTGACCTTTTTCAATGTCAGCATTAGGTTCATGGTATTAGTAGGTCATGAAGTTAATTTCTAAACTAGGTCATTCTTTCACTTCTTACAAGACTCCATAGAAGTCCAGGGGAGAACAGAAGTCATCTTTCCTAAACATAAATTTGAAGGTTGAAAAAAACTGTAAGCTGTACCTTTATTAATATTATTATTTCTTCAATGAGTAACAATAGATTGTAAACTTTTTTTGCATCACACACTCAGGAGAACAACAGGTTGTCTAGAATAGGGCTGTCATATTTAGCTAATAGAAAGAAGATGCCCAGTTAAGTGTAAACTGCAGATAAACAATACCTTTTAATTTAAATATGTTCCAAGTGTTGCATGGGACATACTTATACTAAAAATTATTTGGTGTTTATTGAAATTCCATTTAACTGGGTATCCTGTATTTTAGTCTGGCAACCCTCACCTAGGACAGACTCACTACAGAGCCTGTTTAGCACCCTACAATGGCCCCCTTTCCCCCTTTTCATTGTCTCCTGTGTCCCTTTCTCTCTGTCTGGGCCTGTCTTTTTTTCTGCCTCCTCTTTCTCATCCCCACCCCCACCTTTATCTTTTGTTTGCTCTCTGCTGTCCACAGTTGGCCATTTTTGAGGAATATGTATCTGGGTTATCAGAGGGTACACAGATATGTACCCGAGTTATTGTCTCATTTCTTTATTTAAAGGGGGGTTTGGAGGAGATGGATACATGTGTATGTAAGAGTGAGTCCCTTCACTGTTCACCTGAAATTACCACAGCACTGTTAATCAGCTATACCCCAATACAAAATAAAAAGTTTAAAAAAAAAGTTGTATTGGAAGCACCATTTTTAGGTTCTCAAAATAAAATTGTTTTTATTTGATGTAATCCTCAAATGATTTTTTCCCTCTGGGACATGAGCTTTCAAGAGAAAAAAAAGATTTGCCATTTCTACTTTAAAAATATTGCTTGATGAAGTTATTTTCTAAAACAGCAATTAAAAAAAGTATCAACGCTAATACCAGAGTCAGTCCTACAATGATATGATACTGTGCTGAATGCTAACAGACTTGCAACTAAAAATAAAACTAGGGTTTTTTTTTACTCAAAGCTCTCATTTTCCTAATTTTCCCCATCAGGTGCCGTGGACACTACAACTGTGAGAAGAGAAACTACCTGCAAAAATGAATCTAATGTGGTGAGATTTACTTTGGTTTTTGAAATCATTTTAAAGGCTTGAATAGATAGTAGGTATAGAATTTTGAAATGCATTTGTTAATGTACATTTTAATTTCATATTTGCAGGGAATTTGCAAAGTGAGTACCAGGAAACTTGGGGTTTTAGCTTTCTTTTTTTTCTCTTCTGTTTTTTCCTGTCTTAGAGAATTCTGGGATCAAAGACCTACACAGAACAACAAAGAGCTAAAGGAAGTCAGTTTGATGATACAAGAGGGAGGCTCTTTTTCTGAGGTCAAGGCCAGATGAAGTGCTGAAGGATTAGAAGGCTTTCACTCCATTTGCTTTGGATAGACTTAAAGACTAGGCACAGCCATTTGTGTTAATTAAAATCTTTCCAACCTTTGTTTTAGTGCTTTTTCCACTCTCTTTCTCCTCCGAAATGGGTGGAAATGCTAGTTAGATGCTTGGCCTTACGCATGTCAGAAATTTAGTCATTTAGAATAAACAGTCTCTGATTATTTTGACAGCTTTTTATTTTTGAAATGACTAGATTCAAACCACACTGTATTTTTGTTAACAAGTCCATAAAAAAGCTGCTGCTCTCCACCTCTAAGCGCTTCCTCTGGTGACTCAGGGGTAAAGAATCTACTTCCAATGCTGAAGACACAGGTTTGATTCCTGGGTTGGCAAGATCCTCTGGAGAAGGAAGTAACAGCCCACTCCAGTATTCTTGCCTGAGAAATTCCATGGACAGAGGAGCCTGGTGGGCACAAAAGAATCGGACAAGATATAGTGCCTAAACAAGAACAACTCCACCTCTGAAGTGTTTAATTCTGGGCAGAGCCTCCACTGACAAATGAGCAAAAGTAGCTACAAACTAAAGAAATAAAATTCCATAGACTCCTCTCACTCTCTCACCCACTACATCCATCTGACCTGCTGACACTGCTTCCTAGTTACCTAGTCCTTGAATACCTTCTACCTTTCTGGTACCACTGTTTTTGTTCAGGTTCCTTTTCCTGCCTGGGTTACCAGAGCCTCTTAATTGGTTTCCTTGCTTGGTTTCCAACCCTTCTATTTGACCTTTCACAGCACCACCAAAACTATCTTTTCTAAAAGAGAAATGAGATTATGTCACTTTCCTACTGATTTCCCGTTGACATTAGTGTAAAGTTGAAAACTCCCTCACAAACCACATAATGACCTACCTTCTACCTACATGCCCAGCCTTGTCTTCTACTGTAGCCCTCTGCCCTGATCGATTGACACTGAGCTATACAGAACAGGCTGCAGTTCCTCTGATGCTCCATGAGTTCTATTATCTCTCTGCCTCTGCACAAAGTTGTTCCTCTGTCTGAAACATTCTTCTCTTCTTGTCTGCTTGACCATTGCCTACTGTTCCTAAGGGCCAAGTTTGGTACCCTTGTTCTATCCTAGTAATTCTCAGTCCTAATTGTGTTTCAGAAGATCCTTGGGAGCTTTTAAAAACATCAATTTACCAAGCCCTTCTCCTGGTCATTTAAATTATGATCTCTGAGAGGGACGGCAAAAAGCATCTGCATTTTTTAAAAGCTCCCTAGGAAATTCTAAGGTGCAGTCAGGTTTGAGAATCATGGTTCAGGCTGTCTTACCTCTATCATAGCACTTACCAAACTATGTTGCAATTATTTGTTTACCTAGCCATTGATTTCCCTAACTAAATTGTGAGCTCTTTGAGGCCCAGGACTGTCTTCTTCATCTTTTCATTTTGATCACATAACAGTACCTTGGATTTGATAGAGCCTCAGATATTGCAAAAGACCACAGAAAGTTAATTGTAAAGTCCCAGGTCTCTTGACACTCTGTGTGTGTCAGTATAATACCACTGGATCATATTGTAGTCCCTGAGATCTTCAGATCTTTTCTTTAATTAAATTGTCATTAATTTCCTATCTCATGTCAATACAAAGAAAGTTGACTTGTTACAAAACACTTCATGACCTCTAGGAATCCTCATATGGTATAATGAGTAAAGTAAGCCAACCAACTAAAAATCTCCCCTCTCCCAAGGTCAATTTAAATTTTTAAAGGTCACTTGAAAAGGTGGATTTTTTAAAAATGTGTTTTCAGACTGGAAAACTTTTCACAAAAATCAGAGAATTTGGACATTAGATGGAACCTAAAATAAGTTAGCTTATTAACTTATTACTGATAACTCAGTAATAACTCAACTGATATCAACTGATAACTCAGTTGGTAAAGAATCCACCTGCAATGCAGGAGACCCTGGTTCTATTCCTAGGTCAGGAAGATCCGCTGGAGAAGGAATAGGCTACCCACTCCAGTATTATTGGGCTTCCCTTGTGGCTCAGCTGGTAAAGAATCCACCTGCAATGCAGGACACCTGGGTTGGGAAGATTCCCTGGAGAAGAGAAAGGCTAGCCACTCCAGTGTTCTGACCTGGAGAATTCCATGGACTGCATGGGGTCACAAAGAATAAAATAAGTATAAATCTCCATCACTTTTCAGAAGAAGATACTGAAGTTCAGATATGTTGAAAGAGTGTCCAAAGGCCCAGGGTTAATTGAGGCTATTAACAGTTAAGCTAATTACCAGAGCCTGGTATTATTACTGCCAATTCACATTCCAACTTAACTCACATCTTTCCTCTCTTGACCACAAAATAAGAGGCTCTTCAGTCGTGAGACAATTAGTTTCATGTTCTATCAACTGAAAGTGAAAGTCGCTCAGTTCTACTCAACTCTTTGCGCATTGCAGGCAGATTCTTTACCAGTTAAGTGACAAAGGAAGCCCAGATAGCTCAATTGGTAAAAATCCTCCTGCAATGCAGGAAACCCCGGTTCAACTCCTGGGTAGAAAGATCGTCTGGAGAAAGGGATAGGCTACCCACTCCAGTACTCTTCGGCTTCCTGGTGGCTCAGCTGGTAAAGAAATCACCTTTGTAGTCCATGGGGTCTATACAGTCCATGGGGTTGCAAAAGGTTGGACACGACTGAGCGACTTTCACTTTTTCTATCAACTGATTAAGCTGAGTATATAATCTACACTCTGTTTCAAGAAAGCCACTTCTCTCCTCATTTGGACCCTCTGTACTTTAGCAGTCCTGAAAGATTTTCCAAGGCAATTGGGTTACACAGAGCAATAAGAACAAAAATCAGGAATATAAAATCTGATTGAACCACTGACTACCTTTAATAAGTCATTTAATCTCAAGGTCTTAGATTCCCATTTTAAAGGTTGAATTAAAAGAACACCATTGAAATGTTTTAAAATCATGTTTTTGTCTGTTTTTACCATGAAATGAGTTTGGATGAGTATATGACCTTTCACCCCGCCTTTTTTTCCTGTTAACCAAAGCATGAAATAAACAATTCACTTGCTAACAGAGATGTATAACTTCTTAAAAAATGAACCATTTGCTATCTCTAAACTATTGAAATTGTATGTTCATTATTATTAGGCTTATCACTTTTACCTCAAATGCTCCAAACCTTTCAGTTTATTCAAAACTCAGAACTGAAATGTTATAGCCTTTTTTTCTATTGTCTTCAAGACTTCACATTGGATTTCGATTTTCACCTGTATGGCAGTGCAGCATTATCAATTAGATTGGCTGGCTATGCCTGGGTATCTGCATCTTGATAAGTTCAAAATATGGATCTCAGCTTTGTGGGTACAAATTTATTTGGTTAACTTATCCAACAGATCAAAGACTCATTCAAGATGCCCAACATCCCAAAAGAAACATTGATAAATCCAATATTGGACATCCATGGTGGCTCAGATGATAAAGAATCTGCTTGCAATGCAGGAGACCCAGGTTTGATCCCTGAGTTGGGAAGATCCCCTGGAGAAGGGAATGGCTACCCACTCCAGTATTCTTGCCTGGAGAATTCCATGGACAGAGGAGCCTGGAGTACTATAGTAGGCTACAGTCCATGGGGTCACAAAGGGTCTGACAAAACTGAGCTACTTTCACTAGTTTAAATTACAAAGAGGGCTATACCTTCCAATATGGTTGAAATATGTCTGTATTTAGGGCATTCCCATCTCAGAATCAAATTGTTAGGGAAACTGATTTAGTAATCAGAAAATATTGATGGCACTGAGACATTAACACTTTTATTTATATTCATAATATTCCAGTTATGCTTCTCAGAGAATAAAACCCCTGATACTCCTGACTGTACTTAGGAGATATGTTTCCATTTTAAGTTCAACTGAGGAAAACTATCTGCATCAGCAAAATGTTTAATAACCATAATCTTGTGTAGTACTACTTTTGTGGCTTATCTCATTTCTTTTACCTTGACAATCTAGCTATTCAAAGAATATTTGCTAACATTTCACCCTCAAAAGTTGCCTTTTTGCAATGACCACAAAGTGATTAGTAATGTTTGTCACACTTCTTTCCTAAATGAAATAAGGTCATCAACAGTCTGCAATTTTCATCTTTAGTCCAGAATTGCAGTCACCAAAGAGGGTAAGTGATGGTATGCAATATTTCACCATATACTATTAGATCCAGGCAGAAAAATTCAGTTTTAGCATTGTTTGTGTGAACTCTGGCCATGGGGGTGGTGTCTCCTTTTATAGACAGAGGCTTCTGCAAGCTGTTACAAGCCAAGGCAAATTTCTAACAGCCCCACTGGTGCCTTGGGAGGAGCCTGCATTGCTAGCAATTCCAAGTCCCTACTGCTTCATGTATTCTGTATTTAGTCATCAAATATTAGGAAATGGGAAGAAAACAAGATTCTGTGTTGAAAAGCAATACTTGCTCTGCACCCAATCAATCCCCCAGCAGGAGATACACAGGCAGATAAGTATGAAATGTAATTATTACATGGTAAAATGAGATTTTTCAGGACAACTGAAAAATCCATCATTTCTGCTTCCTTCACCAATTCATTTATGCTTGCTAACATTTCAAATTCTACTTAAGGTTCATTTTAAGCTAAAATACTGTACAAACATTCCTGTCAACCATATTTCCTCCAATTATTACTCAGCTTTGGAGAAAATGAGGCTTCTAAGGTTAACAAAATTATTTTTTGTTGCTTTATAGAGACAAAACTATTTTCCTAGGGCAGTTGGGCTCTGATTACATTGAAACCAATTAATAATAATTTAAGAAATTCATGACGCATTTGATTTTTTTTTTTTAAAGCTCACTTAAACTCAATCCATGTCAGTGGTTAGCTTTGGGACTACTTTTTCTTATGTATTATTGT